TGCCCGCGGGGGAGGGGGGAGGGGACTCCCATACAAAAAGGTCAGGGGACCTCGTCGGAAATTTTGATAAAGGTCGGGTGTGCTCTCAAAGAGATCCTGTTTTGGGGGGGATGGTTCCAACTTTTTTTCCCCCTAATAGGTACCCATTCTAAAACATCACATTACCTCCTGTCAGACGTTTTTCGGCTCAGCAGTGCTTAACAGATACCTCAGAAGCTCTCGCTATGGACCTTTCAGGCTGAACACCCTAAGAGGCACCAATCCGCTTTCTTAACCGCTAAAAGGTATGACGAGTACCCCAGTTCTTTTTATATGGGAGTTCCCCCGGGATGTTACTAGGACTTCCTGTGGCTCTGCCAGAGTATTTTTGCACTATTTTGCAATCCAACAAAGACTGCGATAACGTATATCGTTCGCTGGCTTGAATGCGCCCAGAATTTCCCCTATTACAAACAAATCTAGAAGATCTCTATTCAACTGTGCTAAACCTAAAGAGCTTTACGTACCCTTTCACCTGCCGCGCCGTTTTTACCAGGAAGACCAGCATTTCCCTGTAAGGTAATCGATACGATATTTAAGCTGGTTTTGTTTCTCAGTGCATTTGATTGGGTCGTGACTCATGTAACAGCCTCGCATTTTTCCACTAGACGAAGGTAAACTGATCCACATCAAATCAGCTTACAAATTGGATACATGGGGCAACCTTTCAATTTCATCATCATAGTTATCGTCTGATCATGGTATGTGGAACAGGGATGGCGCGGTGGTGAGAGCGCTCGCCTCCCACCAATGTGGTCCGGGTTCGATTCCGGCCCAGTGCCAAATGTAGGTTGAGTCTGTTGTTGTTTCTCGCCTTGCTCTGAGAGTTTTTCTCCGGGTTCTCTGGTTTTCCTCGCTTCACGAAAAACAAAAATTTACAAATTCCAATTCGACCAGAATATAAGACCCGCATGAAAACCAGCTCAGGCTGATCTGGCTTCCTCTCTAAATATTGTAATTTTTTTTATTACTTTTATGGCAAAAATAACAATAACAATTTGCATTCTTAAGCCTGGAAGTGGTAGATTAAGACAAGCATTTTACATTTCTTCTTTTGCGAAATAAGTTAGCCATATTTCATTCTCCAAAGTAAAAGCCCTACCTCTTTTCCAGGAATACCATATTCACCTCGATCGCCCTTTAAACCCTGAAAGAGAATTAAATAGCTCGCACATTTGTAAAGAGCTCATGTGGTTTAGAAACCAGTACTACATATACTAAACAATCCATAATTTTTGACTACTTACTATTTTGCCCTGTTCACCTCGTTCTCCTATATCTCCAACAGAACCTATTTCGCCCTTTCAAGTGGATAAAAGTACAATACACGGCTCAGAAAACAAGTATGTAAATACACAAGAACTTTATGTAGGAGTTAACCTGATCGTGAAATTATATGTGATAGTGTTTTATCACATTTCCAAGCCCAAGAAGAGAGTTGAAAATACGACTCGCAGCGCAGCATATTCTGATGAACTTCGAACCCGGGGGCCCCCCATAATAAAGGACGGGGATGCTCGTCGTCTCGTCGTACCTTTTAGGGGTTAAAAAAGTGTTTTTGGTACCTCCTGGGGTGTTCAGTCTCAAAAGGTCCACACCGGAGCTTTTCAGTACCTTTTAGGGTATTGTGTTATGTTGTGTTATGACAGGAGGTAGTGTGTTGTTTTAGAATCGGTACCTCTTAGGGGTGATAAAAAAAATTCAAGCCACGCCCACAAACCATTATCTTGGTACATCTTAGGGGTTATTTTTAAAATGTACGACGAGCGTCCCCGTTCTATTTATATAGTGACTGTTAAAGAAACTGGATGAAGTATTTGTTTTAATTTAGGTCAACATTTCTTACCACATCTCCAGGG